CTGAGAGGCCCCGGTTTAGTGTCGGCTTGCTAAACCGCTCCAGAGAGTCCGTACGGTAGACCCTGTCGAGCTCCTCCATCCCCTCGGCAGCCAGACATGGCGGAACGTCCGGCGCCAAGCCCTCACTCGATGAATCCATGAGAAGCGGTAGGGGCCTGGTTTCCATACGTAAAAACCTGAGTGGATCCCATATGTGTAAAGTCCATGGTATAGCCTCAGAGCCCCGTGTTTCCCTGGCAGACTTCTGCCATTTCCAAGAGGGTTATAATCACCCCTAATCTTCCACATGCACCTAAATGGTTGTTCAGATGTGTAAGTGCTTCCGAAACCTCCTTCGGGAAGGATGGGGCTTCCGCAACGTTCTTGTCCCAAGTGGAACGGGTATGTTTTCCCAGTGTTATCCAATCTCACTGAGTGGGTAGTGCTACGACAAACAGTGACTGGTCTTCTTGTTGCGAGCCCCGGCCTACGCTGAAAAGGGAGCGCAGGAGGCTCGCTCAGGACACTGGAAGTGTCAGCATCTGTGGCGCTTTGGTAGGGATCCCAAAGTCGGTCATAACTGATGTGACTCGTAGTGACCGACTGAAAGGGAATGTCTCGGTTACGTATGTAACCCTCGTTCCCTGAAGGAGGGAACGGAGACGTTATGTCCTGTCTCCACAGCTGCTGTATCACCGCTGAGCGGCCGGGTCACCGGCTCGGCTCATCAGCAAAAACCTGAGTATGCATTGCACCTACTGCCTAGTTATACTCACGCTTCAATCAGGGCAGCTGGATGCAATCATCACATGCCAATGTGCATGGACTCGTTTAGTTTACACTCGAAGTGGATTGGTCTCTCTAAGCGAGATCCCAAAGTCGGTCATTACCGACGTGACATCTCCGCTCCCTCCTTCAGGGAACGAGGGTTACATACGTAACTGAGACGTTTCTTTGTTTTGTTTACTCCTGCAATCGCCAGTGCTTTCCTTGTGGGTTATTATTAAAGAACTCTTGGTTCTTGGTTTAGATTTTGCTCCTTCATCGTGCACTTTATTCTACACAGCCCATGACAGAAAAACCAGACCCATACTACAGAAGGACTTAACAGCACTGCCCGTACAAACAATCACAGTGTCTCCAAGCCCAAGGACTGCAGCATTGCCAGTGCAAATGGTCACAATGCTTCTGGTGAGTGAAGCAGTGTGTCTGGGCTGCACACAGATCCACTCCAGCCCCTGAGTCCGCTCCCGTGTCAGCTCCATTGTGGGTTTTTAGCCCTTGAGTCCTCTCCAGTGATAGCTTCAGCCCCTAAATCCGCTCTATTGTCGGCTTCAGCCCTGAGTCTGCTCCAGTGATGGCTCCAGCCCAGTCCGCTCCATTGTCAGCTCCATCCTCTGAGTTTGCTCCAGTGATGGCTCCAGCCCGAGTCCAGCCCAGTGATGGCTCCAGCCCCTGAGTCCGCTCCAGTGATGGCTCTAGCCCCTGAGTACAGTCCAATGCCCGCTCTCATCCCAGAGCTCAGCCCAAAGTCAGCTACACTTTCCATAATAGCTCTGGCAATAATGTGTGTTTGGGAAAAAAAACTTATCTTTTTACTTGGACTATATATAATTATATTTAAATAGAATAAATAGTATTTTCAACTTTATTTAGTTATTTGAACTTATAAAGTTTAGTTGGAATAACCTTATGAAAGTATAGTGAACTTGCTTTATGTTTTCAATACCAAAGTTCATTTGACCTAATACGGCTTATTTTCTTAGTTCAACCAAATAAATAATCTATTTATTTCAATTGTAAATAATTATTTTATTTCAAATGTTTCAGTTATGTTTTGATCGACAACTTTTTCATTCCCATTTAAATTCATTTCTAAACTCTAAAAATAATTCAGTGGATTTGTAAATGCCAATAATAAATAACTATGCTACCTTAGTCAATGCAAAAAGATACCTCAAAAAATTAAGTTAATTAAGTTAAATGAACATCAACTTTGGTACTGAAAACTTAATCTTACTTTCATAAAGTTATTCCACTTAAACTTTATAAGTTCAAATAACTAAACTTGTCAAGTTGAATATTCGAAGTAAATTCAATTTAACTTTGATTTATCTATTTTCACTGATGCAGTTGAGTGAACAAAAATAAATAAATAAATAAATATAGTGAACTTTGGTACTTAAAACTTAAAATACACAGGTTCACCTTACTTTCACAAATATATTCCAAATAAACTTTATAAGCTCAAAGAACTTTAAATGTGTTGAGTCAGTGCAAAAAAAAAAAAAATCCTAACTCAAAAAGTTAAGTTGTGAACCGTTTTTTTCTTTCTTTTTCTTTCCTTTCCTTTCCTTTTTTTCTACAGTAAGTTACCCATTAGTACTTTTAGTACAATGAAGTAAAAAAAAAAAAAAAGTTGACAAAAAAAAGTTGATTCTCTTTCATATTCGCTGTGTTCTTTGTAAATATATTCTGGTATGTTAAACAAAGTCTCATTGCACAGGGTGGGTGTCTGACGCTAAAAACTGCAATAACACAGAAAATGCTGCAGCTTATGACGCACTTTTTGAACATCTTGGCTTGGACAAGAATGACAATCAAAAGCGGCCCTTGTATTATGGGGATGCTACCCGTGTTTTTGTGGAACTATATGTGACCTCAATCATAGATGTGGTGAGTTCAACATGATTTACCTTCTCATTCGGGTCATTATGGAATATCAAACAGTAGTTTCATCAACACTTTTTTTTAAATTAATTAATTATTTTGTTTTATCTACAGAATGAAAAAGCCCAAAGCCTCACGATACAGGTCAAAATGATAACTGTAAGTCTTTTAAAAAACTATTTCACTTTTATTTCACAAAGTTTTAATCATTTTACAAAACTTTATCATGCATTCATATTTGATTTTTAAGCATCTTGTTCTTGTAATCACTGTGAACTTATAACTTTGCAGGCTTGGATAAATATAAATATGGATTGGAACAGCCATGAATTTTGTGGAATGAATACATTTTCAGCCCGGAAAGACATGGTTTGGACTCCAGACATTGTTATAGCAGAAAGGTATACAAATGACTTTGACAAAACTTGTTTTATTTTAGGCATTTTTTTGCCACATTTTTTTAACAATCACTAGGTCTTATTTCTCAATACTTGGGTGAGCACAGTGAACACAACAGCAGTCTTAAGGGTTAAACTGTGGATAATTTTCCATTGCTTTTGCACAAAATACATTCAATCACTACCTCTTTGAAATTAAATGATTACAGGCCAATTTGCACATATTCACATACTTTTTCCAAAACTGTTAAACTTAGGCTGAAACCCTAAAAGGAAACCCTACAAAACTGAATAAGACAGCAATTCTGAATAAGCTACAGTTCTGCAGTAATACCATATTGCAAATCTAAAAGATGAATTACTATAAAATCAACTTGATGTAGCCAAACCCCTACATAGCTGTTAGTCTCTCAAAATGCATTACAATTGGTTCAAAAGGAAACAATTTAGTAAGAATTTTGTACTGTAATGTAAACATGGACCATGTATGCAACATATATTGCAGTGAATTCTAATAGTGGAGAGATTACATTATACAGAAGAAAACACTGTAACATTGAAGAAAACACTGTATAATGTTACATGTTGTTAGTGTATAATGTTACCTTGTCATTCAGGTGATTGTTTTATGAGTGACAGTGTGTTTGTTGGGTGAAAACTTTTGCTTGTGTTATGGAAGAATAAATTGATTAGATACATGTATGAAGTTATGTTTAGTGCATTTTAAATGTGAAAATTACAGCTGTGCCTAGCTAAAAGTGAGTAAGGAGAACTGTGAAGATTTTTGAAAAAGTGACTTAAGTATTGAGGGGTACTACTGATTGTAAAAATAATAATAATAATAATAATAATAGTAATAATAATATGATGAACACGATTTTATTTATAAAACTTTATGAACATTTATCTGTTATTCTTGTCACACTGACAACTAGGTTTCAGTGTATTTAAATGCTTAAAATGACTGCAATTATTAAATATTTAAAAGCATTATACCATGTTTGTGAATGTTATTAATGAAGTTATGTCACATATATAATGGAAGTGTTTATATACTGTAATAGAGTGCTGCAGGGATTATGTATTTTTGTAGGTCAAAACCCAGAAATGAGTTAGCATTTTAGCACATCCGGTTTTTGGTTAAATGCCTGAAATAAGGTCTATGGTGAACACAAGCTCAAGATATTTTTACATTTTATTCTGCAACATAAAATACATCAGTAATACAGTGGGGTTTTTTTATAGTCTTGAAAAAGACGGTTGCTAGAGTGCCTAAATGGGACTACAAAGTTTGACATTAACCATTATCACACTCAACAGAAAAGCTCAAAAATAATTGTGCTCTTGCAAACTGTTCTAACTGTGTCAAAGACACATCCTAGGATGTGCTGGGACACATCTTCAGTGATGTTTCTAAGGTCATCGGGTGTTTTGGGTCTTTCAACATCATACACCCTCGCCCAGGCGACCCTGCCAGGATTGATCAGACCCTGGCTTGTGTCCCAGCAGCACTGGCCCACAGATCACTCCTCTTATCTGGACAGCCATCATGCAGCCTCCATGGTGGACTTGATGGCTTTCCTCTTTGCAGCCCCAGTAATGCCAAGCAGTGTGTAGTCCTTAGACAGTGACTAGCCAGCAAAGCCCCACTTTGGTTCGCAGCATACCTTCTAGCCTGCCCTTCTGCACTTCTCCACCAGCTCCTGATACTTGGACCTCTTCTGATCATTCACCTCTTCAACTTTGATGTCAACTTCATGACTTTGATGTCATACAACGATCGGTCTGCGCAGCGCAGATGCATCTCGAACAAGCCTGGTGTGTTTGTGTTTGGCGCTGCTGCGCTAGCGTTGCTGGGAAAGATGAGACGCATTCAGTGACATAAGACCTGGCTCTCTGGTGGCTCTCTAGCCCGTGGAAAGGCAAACCGGTTCTTAGAAGGCTCGCCAGTCGAACCAACTCCGAACTGGCAATAGCACTAGCTCTTAAATAAAACCCGGTTCATGCTGGTGGAAAAGGGGTATGCGATGGACTTCAGCACCTGATCATGCCACCAGCAGTAGCGGCCCTTCCCCAGGGCTGTTGGGCAGCTGTTTAAGATGTGCCCTCCCAGGGCTTAGATGACATGCTGGTGAATTATTCTTTCCCCAGATGTGAAGATTCGCTGGGCTACGAAGAATAGACCTATTGGACCAATAACTTGATCTGCTGGAGATCTGCCTGCTAAATCACCTCCTCCGGGACTAGCTGGTGGTGGTCTCAATGGGCTTTATTATAGTGGGGTTGTGGGTTGGTACCTAACCCTGCACAGCCCGTAGCTACCGTGCCCACCAAAGTCCTGTGTCTGAGCCAGGACTCAGCAATTTCCAGGACTTCCTGTGTTATCCACTTCCTGCATGTCTGCACTGTGATGCATGCCGATGCCACACTTGAGTCCTTAGAGCCCCAATAGAGTAGCACCTCTCTGGTGCAAAAGACCTTGAACTTCTCTTCTAGGCTGCTGAATAGGAGCTATAGCTTATTTCTCCTTTCATAGAGTGCTGTGCTTCTCAAGCTGCATGGCAGTCCCAACCACCTGTTGACGTGGTTACTTCATACCCCATAATAGTGCAGGGGACTCAAGGTACGATGCCATGTTGGTATATCCAGTCTTTAAATTGGCCAGACTTTTTGACTGCGGTGAGCCAAGATTCCAGCTTCCTGATGGTGGTTTGAATGGCCGTTGCATCTGTGAGGTTGCAGAGAAAGAAAACACAAATAAAAAATAAAGATGTGAATAAAATACACGTGTGTGTGTGTGTGTGTATGTTTATATATATATATATATATATATATATATAATTGAAGTAGGGGAGAACATTTAACTGTTCATTAAGTAGATTGCCTGGGGAAAGAAACTTTTTTTTGTGCCTGGCAGTCCAGGTGCTCGGTGCTCTGAGCCCTTTTTCTCACTCTGGATATATACAGTTCTTAAAGAGTGGGCAGGGGAGCATCAATAATCCTTTCAGCAGTCTGAACCATCCTCTGTAGTCTTCTGATATCTGATTTTGTAGCTGAGCCAAATCAGACAGTTATTGAAGTGCACAGTACATACTCAATGACGGCTGAGTAGAACTGGGTGAGCAACTCCTGTGGCAGGTGGAACTTCCTCAGCTGGCAGAGGAAGTACAATCTCTGTTGGGCCTTTTTAACAATGGAGTCAATGTGATTGTCCCACTTCAGGTTCTGAGAGATGCCCAGGAATCTGAATGGCTCTACTGCAGCCAAAGTGTTGTTCATGATGGTGAGTGGGGGGAGTGCTGGGGGGTTTCTCCTATCTCCACTGTTTTGCTCCAGGTTGTTAAGAGTGCACCTGACAGCCCGCTGCTCAACCTCACTTATATATGCAGACTTATCATCGTCTTGGATGAGGCCGATGATTGTAGTGTCACCTGCAAAGTTCAGAAGCTTGACAGAAAGGTCTGTAGAGGTGCAGTCACTTGTGTAGAGGGGGAAGAGCAGTGGAGAGAGAACGTATCCCTGAGGGGCACCAGTGCTAATGGTGGCGGTTTGATATTAATTTCACCAGTCTCACTAGCTGTTGCCTATCTGTCAGAAAGCTGGTGATCCACTGACAGATAGAGTTAGGAATAGAGAGCTGGGTTAGTTTGGTCTGGAGGAGTGCTGGGATGATTGTATTGAAAGCCGAACTGAAGTTCACAAACAGGATCCTGACATAAGTCTCTGGTCTGTCGAGATGTTGTAGGATATAATACAGTCCCATGTTGACTGCATCATATACAGATCTGTAAGCTTGATAAGCAAACTTCAGGGGGACCAGTAGGGTCCAGTGATGTCCTTTAGATAAGCTAACACCAGCCTCTCAAACGATTTCATGACCACAGATGTTAGGGCAACAGGCCTGTAATCATTTAGTCCTGTGATTTTGGGTTTCTTTGGGATGGGGATGATGGTGGAGCATTTGAAGCAGGCAGGGACTTCGCACAGCTCCAGTGATCTATTAAAGGTCTGTGAAAAGCTAGAGGCCAGCTAGTCAGCACAGGTTTTCAGACAGGCTGGTGAAACACCGTCTGGGCCTGGTGCTTTTCTTCTCTTTTGTTTTCTGAAGACCTTCACTGATCTGCAGTAACACTCATTCAGGTCTTCAGAAATTTGTTGATTCGTCTCAGTGCTGGGGGATGGTGTCTTGTAGTTTGTGATGTCTTTCAGTCCTTTCCACACTGAAGAAGGGCCATTGGCAGAAAACTGGTTTTGCAGCTTATTAGAGTAGTTCCTGTAATCCATTCTGATCTCCTTTGTCAGTGTGTTCCTGGCCTGATTGTACAAGATTCTGTCCCTACTCCTGTAGGCATCCTCTGTGGCCTGACAAAGCTGTCTGAGTTTTGCTGTGAACCATGGTTTATCATTGTTGTAAGTTAAATGAGTCCTGGTAATAAATGCACATAAACTAAAATATATTGTTACAGTCTCTGTGAGCTCGTCCAGATCGGTGGCAGCAGCTTCAAAAACACTCCAATCAGTGAGGCCAAAACAAGCTTTTAAATCCTGCTCTGCTTCATTAGTCCATCTTTTTACAGTCCTTAATACAGGTTTAGCTGATTTCAGTTTCTGCCTGTAGGTCGGTATAAGATGAACCAAACAGTGATCAGAGAGCCCCAAAGCTGCCCGTGGAACAGAGTGATATGCATTCTTTATTGTCGTGTAACAGTGATCCAATATATTACTGTCTCGGGTGGGACATGTGATGTGCTGTCTGTACTTTGGCAGTTCACGGGAGAGATTTGATTTCTTAAAATCTCCAAGAATGATTAAAATAGAGTCTGGGTACCTTTGCTCCATTTCAGTTATTTGTTCGGCCAGCTGTTGCATCGC